AAAAAAAAAAAAAAAAAAAAAAAGTAGAAAAAATCTTTTGGCATAACCCCATATACTCTGTGATAGAGTAACACGATGCAGAGTAAGAAGCCCAGTATTCACAAATTTCAACACAGAAAATGGATACTGCTACCACATTACTTATTAATTGATAAACAGATGCTGTTTCAGCTTAGTTGTTGCCTATCCTCTTCAAAGCAAGCTTTATCTAAGTGACTTCAGCAATAACTGTTTCAACTGCCTTAACAGAGATTTAGGATTTAAATTCAGTCAAATAAAACTTTTTTCAGGCAATTTTATTTCAAAATAACAACTGAAATGTGACTTTCAGTACCCAAAGAGTTATATTTGCATCATTAATTCTTCCTCAGAACAATATATAATTAACTATGTACCTTCTCAAAAAGCATGGATAGTTTGGTACAACATTTCCAGAGACAATGATAAATGGGACAGTCAGTCCATGAATACAGGAGATTATGTGAAAGCCCAATGTTTTAAGTTTAGGTGTCTAAAAACAGGAGCCAATGCAATGCTCTCTTTGCAACTCCAGTTCTTTGCTTTACATTAAAACCTGCAGATGTATCAGCCTGACTGCATTGGCGTACTAATGCCACTGTAATGCAGCTATTCTGTCGTTTGTGTGTTTTTTAAAATTCAAGAAACGAAAAGACCTCGTGCCAGTACAACTACAAGATAAAAGAACAAAAACCAAGTACTCACGCTGTGAATAAAGCAGTATCTGAAATTCCAAGAGGGCACAGGTAAAGAGTTGAACCACATTTTCTACTCCAAGCAATTCAAAAACTTCTTTAACCGGAAAATCAAATAATGGTAGTTCACTGGTGCTTGGCCTCTGGCAGATAATTGGTCCATAAACACCTGAAAATTTTAATGACCTTCCTGCTGGAGGAAGAGGAACCTCATAGAGAATATTGTAGATGTAGCTTTCTAAAGGTAGAGGTGGTGGCTGAGGTGAAGTCACTGCTTGGTGAAGTTGTTCTAGTACTTTCTTACAAGCTTTCATGAAAGACATTGGAGTAATCAGACAAATGCACTTTGAGACATAGAGTGTGTCTCTGCTGATGTCATAGGAGTTAAAACGCTGTAGCTTTGAAACAGAAGTGCCATTGCAGTCTCCAGTGCTGCTGCAGCTATCTTTGTCATTTGTGGGTGGAGTATGAAGAATGTCATATTCAGCATTGTGCATATGATACAATGTCTGCATTGCACTGCAGATCTGTTTGCTAGTAACTTCCTCAAAAAATGTGAGAGAAAATCCAAATGTCCGTGAGCCATCTTCACGAGTAATAATAAAAGAGTGGAACTGAGGTTCTCTGGAATCTGCTTGTGTCTTGAAAGCAAGCCCTTTAGGCATACACAGCTATAAAAAAGGGGGGAGGGGAAATAATATCAATTAATACACACTTTTCTCTCTCCCTGCCTCCAGAAGCATTGGTGAAAATAGGATTTAGAATCCACAGACTGCGATCTCATTTCAATATAAATTCTATTAAGTGTTACATCTCTGTACAATACAGTAATATGCATCTAAATCAGGAAAACTGAAGGAACATACTAAAAGGGCTGTATGCAGTTTCTATTGGAGCTCATAACCATTTTGTTACCAACCTCAATGGGAATAATGTAACAGAATTCAAACGCAGATAAAGGAAAGTATTTTGGTTACTAAGACCAGAGACCTGACAGAAAGAAGTCCTATATTTTATCCAACTTAAGAAATTACACCACATTCCATTAAACAGAAAACTCATGCACAAAGATTAATTAATTGCAGATTAATTTATGTCTCTACCAATTCTCTAGAATGTAACAAAAAGTTGTAAAAGAACAAAAAACTCTCCTAGGGACTTATCACATATAAGTTCTAACTTAATTTCCTTTAAAAAATATCCCAATTAAATGAAAAGTCTTTTTGAACCTGCACAATTTAAAGAAATTCATTATTATTTCCAATCTATAATAGACTTCACACTTCCATCAAAACCACCACAGATTGATGCCTTCAATTGTTAAGGTAGGTTTTTATCTTAAAAACAAAAGCTATTAAATGATACTGACCATTCCCACTGCATCCTGGTCAAAAGGGTTCCATTCAACATTCTCAGGATAGCGAGCAAGAACTTTGGATTTAAATGTGCGTCTTAATGGAGTCTGTTCAAAGTTTTCCCCTGCAGGTGAAACAAAAACGCAAAGTAAATATTTCATCCTGTTTTTAAGCTGAAACAAGGTCAAAAAGCAGGACATCAGCAGGTAGATGCAAGGATAAGTGAATTAAGCACACACACCTTTTAAGAGAAACAGAAAATGCAAGACAGTTAGTTAGCATATAATCAGACTGCAGGTATTAGCAAGGATTAGCATTGTAACATTTCTATGTTGTTAAGTATCTGTGCTTTTCCTTAAGTGTGACTATCTTGAGACTGTGGTCATGACAGCAATCCTCTAAGTTACTCTTCAGATGTTTCAGATTCTTTTTAGAGCATAGCTAAAGCTTTAGTTTCAGTGTAATTTTGTTACTGAAGAAAAGCACAAATAGACAAGATGTAAAGATGATGCAAGTTTAAAGTAGACATACAAGTGGCATCACTTAATTTCTTCTTCAAGACTTAGGAAAAAAGGGTATCCACCATTTATTACAAGAAGTTAGCTGTGAAAAGAGGGTCTAGAAGGTTAAAAGATCAAGAACCACATAAATGCCCATGAAGACAGCATATCAGATGAACAAAAAATTTGTGATTTTTTTTTTTCCCCACACTTTTTCCTTTACCTTCTGTTGCACTCGAAATGAAACGGCTGGCACCATCTCGGGTTTTAGAGGCCTGTATATACTGGCATAAAGCTATATAACAAATAAAAACAACACTGCATTATAAATTTCATACTGTCGACTGTAATTATGCATCTAACACACACCAGTAAAAAAAACATACAAGTAGTCTATACAGAATTAGCATGCATAATAGATAGCCTACTCTCATAATACGCTTTTATACATATACCACTTCATACAAATCTCTCATTTCAGGTACATATTTCTTGAAGGAGATCATCAGTATGTAACAGAAGCTCATAGTTCCTGTATACACCACCAGAATACTGATGCAGCAATAGGAATTAGTTGCCTGTTTAATTAAAGTTTTACATGTTAAAGTATAAAATACTCCCAAAGAGCAGATGATGAAACTAACCCCAAGACCATTTCAAGGCCTTTAGGACTATATGAATTTAATTGGCATGGTCCAACCTTTCACAGATGCTATCCATACCCTAGAGTGGCTGATACAGTCTTGTTTATAAGCTCTCAAATTTCCGCTAGAGCATAGACTGTTCATTGTGCTAGCACAGAACTTTCTACAGTAAATCTTCTGAATGTGTGTAGTGGCTTTAAAAAAAGCAGTGTACAACTGCGTATCTTAAAATAAGTTTAGCTATCTTACTAGAATGCAATTAGCTAAATGAGCATGCAGCTGTTGACAGCTGCACTAACAATCAGGCACAATTGCATGAAATCATATGTTTTAAATAAATCAAACTACTTCAGCAACACCTGCAAAAAAGAAAACACACTTCAACACCTCACTTGTTTTCTTACATGCAGCAATTACATGGCAATAGAAACTGATTTTAGAATTGGTTGGGTTTGTTATGTGCTTTTACAGTAATATTTAAAGTTCAAGCTTCAAGCCAACTTAGAATCTTCATTTCATACAACATTTATTTCCACAAAGTAGCCATATACAGAGATAGCTATGACACGGCCTATAGACAATAAAGAACCTAACAAACACGATACACCAAACAAAACCTCGCTTCCATGGAATGCTTAAGAAGTCCTTTGACAGTTGAGAAGTTGTGTAACTCTGGATTTTGTTTAAACTAAGTCTTAAATATTACCTCGAACAGGGAACTTATCCTGAATCAGGACCTAGGACAGGTCTCGCAATCCACAAAATATTCACATCTATTTTGCTAATCCTCTGGGTTTTAGCACTGAAATTAAAGGAGGGATTGTTTTTCCTGTGTGTCTGAAAAATCAACAGCTCAGCTGACTTTCATACAAAACCACTCAGCTACATTATTTATTACTTTGTTCAATACTATCATTGTTCAACAGAGAAAAAAATGCATATTTGTAAAAATCTGAAACATGTAGAGAGAGGGATAGTTAGGAAAAAACAGAACACAACTTCACTGACATAACCATCTTGGGAAAGAGCAGAGTCAATGATAAAAAAACATAACAGCGTTTCTGCAAGAGCTAAAAACAAAGTTAAAAGATGAAAATAAGCATTTAAAGAAACTCCCAATGTCCAAGAAAGAGAAAATAAAATGGACATAACCCCACATCTCTATTTAATGACACAAACATACACTCAAGTAAAGAGAGTCCTCTGTAAAAGAGGTTTTAAAAATAAGTCAGGAGATTTAACACACCTACTATTTTCTATATTTACATCTGTGCAGATGATGTAATGTCAACTTTTAGATAATTGAGGAAAAGCCTCAGACATTTACTAAGATGTTTTGTCCTGTTTTTTCTTCTTCCACGTACATATAAGGGAGAAAATATCTGAAGGCCAAATTTTCTCCTGAACTTGGAAACCACACACCACAATCACTGGGTTCACCTATGTGCAAGGTCATGCATATTCTGGAAACAAGATCTGTGACTTGAAGACCTTTTCATTAAGATGATTAATATTGCAAAATACATGATGCTGCTCTTCACTTCTGATTAAAAAAAAAAAAAAGAAAAACAAAACCAAAAAACACTCAAAAAAATGCATGGATGCTTATATATTTTAAGGCAGCTTGCCCCATCTCCTCCCAAGAGACATTCTTCAACACACTTAAATTTTTTAGACCTGAAGCCTGTCTATAGTTTAATGAAAGTCCTGAAATTGATTTCTGGAAACCCACCGAGTCCTGATCCAGACAGAAACATAAAGCAACACTTCCATGCCTTCCTGTCATTCATCAAACAATTTGCCTGTTGCACAGACACTGCTCTTGCCAGAGTGCCTCCATTTTACACTTCTTTTAGAGCCACCCTGCTCTGATACCAGACTTGTGGTGTTGACTTCCATGTGTGATGCCCAGGGTACCCAGCCTCCCGGGCTGGAAGATGGGGACGAAGAGTAGAATAAACCCCCCATAATCCAGGAGGAAGCAGTCTTTGACCTGCTACGCCACCTGGACATCCACAAGTCTATGGGGCCAGATGAGATCCACCCAAGAGTGCTGAAGGCGCTGGCAGAGAAGGTTGCCAAGCCACTCTCCATCATTTATCAGCAGTCCTGGAGAACAGGGGAGGTCCCAGATGACTGGAGGTTGGCAAACGTGACACCTATCTTCAAGATGGGCCGGAAGGAGGATCCGGGGAACTACAGACCTGTTAGCCTGACCTCAGTACGGGGGAAGATTATGGAGCGGGTCATCTTGAGTGTGCTCACCAGGCACATGGAGGACAATCAGGGGATCAGGCCCAGTCAGCATGTGTTCATGAAGGGAAGGTCTTGCCTAACCAACCTGATTTCCTTCTACGACCAGGTGACCCG